TTTTGATAGATAAGGTACAACATCTTTCCTTCAAAAAAATCAAGTGAAAAGAATTATGGAAAGAATGTTGCAATTGGGCCTCCCTTGGTGGCGCAGGCGGTTGAGTGCCGCACTGTAAAGCTGTCTGCAGCCTCTGCAGAGCCGGTTGGATCCCGGACGGTGGGCAAGGATCCCACCTGGCATTGAGCGCTGCGCTGTGAAGCTGTCCTCAGCCTCTGCTGCACCGGTTTGATCCCGGCCGGCCAGCAAGAGTCCCACATGGCGTGACAGACCTCTCCTGTCTGGCCCGCTGCTCCCCTCAGCAGTGTATTTTGTCAGTCTGCCTGTTCTGATTCCCACTTTGTTTCTGGTGAATCCTCTCACCCTCCTGAGAATCTGGCCTGTACCCCGGTTCTTGTATAAATAAATAAATAAATAAATCTTTTAAAAAAAAAAGAATGTCACAATTATGAACTTTGGCCCACCTGTGTGCAAAGATAAATTCTAACATGTGTAGTAGGTCTTCCACCATTCAGAAACAGATGCATAGAGCAATTATTTGAGTTTCCTGAGTTCACACCCAAAACCTCTGAGGGGGCGGTGTCCCCGGTGGCCTAGGTTAGTTTCAGCGCTATCACTGCCATGGCCTGAGTTTGTTCCCTGGCCAAGAGGCTAACTCGCATATGGTGCAGCAGACCTCTCCTGTCTCGCCCACTGCTCCCCTTAGCAGTGTATTATCAGTGGATCCACCTGGTCTGCTCCCCATTCTGTCTCTGGTGAATCTTTTCACTCCCCCAACCCCTGCACCTCTGTCTTACACTCCAGTTCTTCTATGCATAAATAAATAAATCAATCTCAAAACAAAACAAAACACCTCTGGGAGTAAGAAACACCTGGCAGCAGTCACTCTCTGTTCACCAAGTAACATCCCCTCTTCAGTTGCCAAAGTAAAATAGTGAAGGTTATTTCATCACCAAAGATTAGTGGATGTGATGATTAATTTCATCAACTTGACTGGGCCAAGAGATGCCTAGACAGTCAGTCAAACATTATTCTGGATGTCCCTTGGAAGAGTGGAGGTTTTGGATGATACTATCATTTGAGTTGATTGAATGAAGCAAATTATCCTCCCCAATGCCCCAATGTGGGTGGTCCTTATCCAATCGGTTGAAACCTGAATAGAACAAAAACCTTGATCCTTTTTCTGGTAAGGGAAAATTCCTTCTGCCTGGCTGCCCTTGAATTGGGAGCCAGATTTTTCCTGCCTTCACACTGGAACTGAAATATTGGCTTTTCCTGGGTGTTGAGCCTACTGGCCTTCTGACTAGAACTACACTATCTGCTCTCCTGGGTCTCCAAATTGCTGACTTACCCTCCATCTTGGGACTGTCAGTCTCCATAATTGTGTGAGGCATGTACCATTTTTAAAAATGTCTTAGTCTCTCCTCACCACCAATATATTCTAGAGGCTGTTTTTTTTGGAGAACCTTAATATAGTGGGCATATTCTAATATTAACTAATTAAAGAAACCCCCACCACCCCTCAAAAAAAAAAAAAGTAAAAAGATCAGGAAGATCTCTTTATCAAAGGCTTGGCTATACGGAATTCATTAAGTACTATGGATTTTTGTTGACTAGAGAAAAATTAAATTTCAAAGTGGAAAAATCTCCAGTGCTGTGATACTACATTTCTGGAGTACAGCTTTGTAGTTTTGCTTTATAGTTCTAGCTCAGGGACTAGTACAATAGAAATGAAAATGTCTTAATATAACAACCTTATCTGATGGTGATATAAGAATGATGATAACCAATAACCTTTGAAAACTAGTGTAATCATGATAAGGCAAACAAGGCAATACCTAGAGCAATCATTGGTGATAGAATTTACCGATATAAGTCACCCTGAACAAAGATCCTTTCTTCTTGTTGATACAACAAAGACATGGGCTTCTATATTCAGCACTGGCTGTGGGTCCCGCTTTTTATATGCTCTGCATCCCTATCCTAGTCTCCTTTTCTGTTCTCTCATGTCCCTTCCCAGCATTGTGCTAAACACAGATCTCTGCTACCTCTCAACTCCACCTCACCCTTGACATGTCCTGTTTTCTTCTGTCCAGTAAAGGAAGGAGGGTGGGGCTGTGCCTTCCCTGGCAGCCAAACATCTTGGGTCCTTGCTTCAGACTCCACCTTCCCAGCATGCACTGTGTGGACTACACAGCTCTTACCAAGAAGCTGTTTTTCCATCCTAGGAGCTGACCTCATTGTTCCTGGGGCTGGAGCCATCTATAAGGCGACACTTGCCAATTTGGGGTTTTATAGCAGTTTTGTGTTTGTGGCATTGGAGGAGTCAGTCTGTACCATTGTCTCTTATAAAGACAGTAATAACAGCCTCCTCTCGACTTCCCTGAGAACGAACATGGTTGAAAAACACAGAAATGTGACTCGCACATCACACATGGATGTAGTCTGTGAATTGACGAGTTTACGAGCCTTGCTGTCATTTATGAAAACTGCCAGAGTGTACAGCTCTGCTTCCTGTTCTTGCAGACCAGCATGACATTTTGGCTCACTCGAGCTCCTGTCATGGGTTGCCACACAAACACTGTCTGTCTGGTGCTGTCATTTCCTGGCAGGGAACAATTATTCCACATTGCCTCAGGATGCTCTCACAGTGCCCTTCTTGTGGTGGCTGAACCAGTCCTCAAAAAGCAAATTTTTTCCAGAAGATAGGTAGGAGCAGAGTCAGTGTGGTTTCTTGGAAAGAACATCAAATACAGTCCCACCAGCATGGGTGCACTATTTTGATAGTAGAGGAAGTGGCCTCCACCCACTTACCACTTTGTTGTCACAACTCTACCTGTGTCTTCCTGTCCCTGCTCTACCTATCGTCAGGAGGTGGGGAAGGTGGCAGTGGCTGTCTCAGTTTTTCCATAACCACTGACCAGCGTGGCCACATAACACCATCTATTAACACATAACACCATTACATATTCTCATCCACCCAGCTAATTAGCTTCTTTCTAGATTTTTTTTTTATTTTTTTGCCATAGCGCTAATTTTCAGTATCTCAATTTCTTCAGTATTTAAATGAATTTAATAATGATCCATCCAAGCTGAATTCTGCAGCCTTAGGACAGAAAAAGTTATATTAGTAGAAAATATGTTTCTTCACATGTACATTTAGGAATTATTAAACTTACTGCCTTAGCAATTCATCAAAATCCAACTAGTATTTATTTCACATCTACTCTGTGTGTCACTTGCCCATTGCAAGGGTTTAAGAGATTGGATATTACTCTGTCTTTGATAAATTAATAATAAGTTATTTCATATTTAAGTATGAAGTGCTTATTCAATACATAGGATTTTTTTTTTAAATAATAAGAATTTAGAACAAAGGGGTAAAAAAATGAACAAATGCATTCAGACTTGAGATTTTGGAAGGACTAGATAGTAATAAACAACGTGGACTTTCCCTATTAAAAAGGACTAATTAATCCTTACCTTATACAAATCATTGCCCTGGAGCAAAATAATAATAATATAATATTATTATTATAATAAATTTTTTTTAATGCATGTGAACCTAAACTGCTCCTTCACCAGGTTACTCGTAGAGGAGGAAAAACCCAGACCTTCGAAACAGACATTTTTATCCTAGAAAGAAACTGTGAAAGAATCTTAGGGCTCAGGTCTCCCTACAGGTTACTTACTCAGGATGGACATCTGGGGACAATATAGACGGACAAGGATTTAAGATCTTGGACTAATTATATATATATATACTTGATGAGACATCAAGTATATATACTGGACCCCAGGGTCACCACGACTCCCCCTTTGCAAAACGCTGCTCTCCCAGCCCATCTTCATTATTTTGCGTAACTTCTCTTTATTGGAATCCCTACAGGGTCTTTCTCTCATTTCCCCTCCAGTGTAAGTACAACAGATAGAATCTGTGACTTCACAAGCTTTGAAATTCTATTTTTGTTCGAACCGCCACAGTCAATGCTTTCTGAATTTTTTGTTTGCTTCCTTTCAGCAGTGAATTTCTTCTGCCAAGCACCTCAACAACATAGAATATGATTCTGAGGGCCAGTGCATTTGTGTTGAGTTGGCACGGTATCTCCTAATCCTCCCCTCTTCACACTATTGCCTTAACAATTGTTCAGGCTTTGAGAAATACCACAATCTCAGCATATTAAATATCAAGGAACTCCTTCCGATTCCCAGAGTCTTAAAGTTATGCTATGCAAATCCTTACGAGTGCGTTTCCATGGTGCCGAATCAAAGTTACGGCAGGGCATCTTAAGCAGCGTTACTGCAAGCGTCACTACAGCCACTGCCTTTCATAAAGGCCCACTTGCTGTGAAATATTTTGAAAACAGAGTTGAAGTGGAGATAACGCAGAGCGCAAACAGCCGGAAATAAGAATAAACTGAGCGTGACTGGCAGACACGGGGGTTGTCAGTTTCTACAAAGAGAACACTTGGTAAATCAGGAGGAAAAAACCACCCGGGTGTTGTTTAGAGACCTCTTGCGGTCGTCTCCTTTGCCTCTCGGGGTGCGTGAGCTCCCCGAGAATGAGGAAGCAGCCCCCCCAGAGCCACTTCCGGGACTGCAGCGCCTCTCCGCACGCCCCCAGGGAGCGGTGCCTCCTCAGGCCAAGATTCTCCGCGACCCAAAAATAACTACACAGATGTAAGGAAAAGGGCCAAAGCCTGCGGCACAGGGCGGTGCTTAGGAACCATCTTATCGCTCCCAGCCAGAGCGCCCCGAACCCGACTCAGCGCCAGCCTTTTATAGCGAGTCCCTCGAGCCCCGCCCTAGCAACTTCTCCTAGCAACACCTCGCCCTCTTGCTCCGCTGCCTTATCGGCCTCCGCCAGGCCCTTCCTGTTCCCCTCCCCCCGCCAGCGCGGCGCTGTGGCCGGGCCACGTGACTGGCCCCTGGGGAGGGGCGGGGCGAACGGACTCCGTGGGGCGGGGTTATGGCAGGCGAGCACGTCATCAAGCTGCGCGGTTAGTTGTGGCGCTTAGCACTTCGGAGAGCCGGTGCGTTCCGGAATAGTCGAAATGGCGGACGCTGTGGCGCTTGTGTGGATTCGCGGCCCTGGCTTGGGGTGCAAGGCGGTGCGGTGTCCCTCGACCCTATGCCCGGTGCTAGATTTCATCCACCGACACTGCCAAGATCAGGTGAGATTCGCGGTTCCGGCATGGAAAAGGAAAGAGGAAGACGGGTAGGGTTGGGTGATGCGAGGGTGGTCTGTCGGGGGCGCGTCTGTTCTTTGGGGTTATCAGTTTTTGTGGCCGAGATTTCCTCAGTTTTAAGATGCAAACTGATGCTCATTCCTTCCTTCGCTTTTGTTCTGTGGTGGTGGTTTTGTCTCCTCATAGGCTTTGGTATTACTTTTTCATGGGTAAATGAGACAGTTGGACCATATGACTTTTAAGTATGTCATAACAAAACTGAGGCCAAAGGATGGTTGTGGGGGGAAATAAACTCATTTGGTCATGGGTTGGGGTCAAGCACTCATACGTGTCCTGTTGAGGGCTATAGTTTCTTTGGGCTTGTCATTTAGAGGTTTTTCACTAATCGTTTGATGGTTTCATGCACATGTGGTGTGGTTTACTGAATTATCGAGCATGTAAGCTTTTACCAACTATGAGATACTAAACCTGCTGAGTTACCTAAAGAATTTGTTGGTCTTCCTAATCTGACTTTAGCTTTGACATCTGATCTAGTACTGTTTTTTCTTTGTAAATACTTCATCCATGCTTCCTTAGACTTTTTTCCTCTGCTATTATTTTGTTTAACGCTTAACATGTGCTAACACAGCAGTTTAAACCAAATCTGTACACTGACGTTTACTGAAGAAACATTGTGTGTTTGCAAATAACATGTTTTTTTCCCCAAGTAACATTTTTTTTAGCTTCCCCATTTTTTTTTTTTTTTACTACACTGCAGCCCAGTCTAAAAACTATCAGAACTGTTTTTGATCATCTGGGGGAAATATTTTCCAAAATATTTGGAATAGTTTAATATCTCTGGAAAAAAAAAAACACCAACTCTTTGAGTACAACCTTTAAACTTTCTGACAACTGATCCAAAGTGAGAGCAGAAAAAATAGGATCTCAATTATGAAGAATATTGGAAAAAAATAAAGAAATATAAATGAATAGTTCTTTCAGGTACTTAGGAAACAGCAGATATGAATAGAAACAAACAAGTATATTTAATGAGATACTGGAAAAAATAAAAATAATTCATGTCCACATCTGTGCTTTTTAAAATAAAACTATTTTGATACATATTAAAGCACTGCTGTTCTTTAGGCTGGGATAACAGACACAGATATGGAGTTAATAAGAAACAAGGACATGGTGCTGTGGGAAATAATGACTTCCTGAAAGTCTACTGCTTTATTATGCACTGAGAAAACTTGATCTTTAAAATCAGAGTATAAGAAACTTTTCTGTTTGAAGTTGTATGTTAGAATGAAGCATCCCACTCTTGCCTTGAGAATCTAAGTCACTTTGCTATAGAGAAGTATTTCTAACCCAGGTACAAAGTTTCAGAATCATGATTTCTGAACACAGCATTCCACATTTATCTTAACTTTGTAGTTTCCAAGGAAACAGGAGCCTGGATCTCCTTTACAATCTAGACATTGTTGCCTTTTTTGTATGTGAGCTCTTTTTTGTTTTGATGCTCTTAAAGTAGTGCTTCATTTAAATTTTGCTTTAACTCCCTCCTTGCTGCTCTCTGAACTTTTTAACGACTTAATCTTCTGATGTTTTAAAAAATGAACCTTCCTTAGTGCTCATCCTGCTGAGTTCATCGCTTTGCTAGGCTTAAGTACCATCTGTATGCTGATAACTTTCAAGTACAAATATCCAGCCCAGACCACTTCCTCAAACTACAGTCTTAGATCCATTGTCCATACCATTAGCAAATCCTACTGCCTCTGCCTGAGTATTCTCAGATCCACATTTCTCATTGACACCTGCTGCCACACCCTGGTACAAAATAACTCTCTGTCTCTCACCTGGATTTTTGTTTTCTCACCTGGATAATTACAATAGCTTCTCATTTTCTCTGCTTTTATAGTATCTCCAGGAAGAATCAGGTGTAGCAGGTGTAGGCCAGAGGCTTGGAGGTGAAAAAATTTAGCAGAGACAGCAGAGAACAGAACAGGCTTACTGAAATACAGTGCTAAGGAAAACAGTGAGTAAGACAGGAGAGGTCTGCCCTCACCAGTGAGGGTAAGAGGCCCTATTTATACTCTCTGCATTGTTGGTTGGTTACAGTGACCAGTCTTGAGTGGATTTGTGTAATGGTTCTTCAGCTTAGCGACCCATTCCCAATCCATCCCCTTTACCCATTCAAGCCTCCCAAACTTGCCTGGTGGGCAAGGAATGGGAGCTTAGATTTTAAATTTAATAATGATACCACAACATATAAACTTATTTTCAATGTAATACCTAGGGTAATCCTGTGAAAGCATAACTCAGATCTCTTTATTCAAAACCTTAAATGATTTTATTCAGCATAACATCCAGCATCCTTACAATGTTTTTTTAAGATCTTATCACACCTCTTGTGTACTTTATTCCAACCACATTGGCTTTCTGTTGCTCCTTAAATACTTTTAAGCTTCTTTTCCCTGGGGCCTTTGCATCTACTGTTGCCTGTCTGGAATGCTGTTTCCTGAGCATCATGTGGCTTATTTCATCACTTTCTTTAATTCTCTGCTAGATACCATTTGATCAAAAACTTTCCTTGACTATGTATATGAAATAGATATCACCCTATCCCCTCCCGTTCACATGTCTCTCTTAATCCTGCTTATCACCATTTGATATAATAATATATAATTTGTTCATATTCTGTCTTTCCCTGCTAGAATATTAGCTCCATGAGGTAGGATCTGTATTCACTATGTTATTCACTGTGGTTTTCCAATACCTAGCAAATAGCAGGCATTTAATATTTGCTAAATGAGTGAGTCTCATTGGACGTGGTTCATAATAAATATTTAGTTTTTACTTCAGGAAATTACCAGTAATTTATAAATCCTTTTTCTTGTTATTGTGATTTCTTCATTCCTGATGGTTATAGATTTAATTGTGTATTGCCTAAGTTCCATATTACTCTGAAGACTATTTCTTTTTTATTTAATAGCATCAGAAAACTTGTTTAGAAAGACTTGGAGTTTTAAAAAATTTCTTTTCATTACTTGAGGATTTTTTTTTCCCCCTGCCGGTTCTGCTCCCTACTCTGTCTCTGGTGAATCCTCTTACCCCCTGACCTTTGCCTATACCCTAGTTTTTGTATGCATAAATAAATAAAATAAATCTTTTTTATTAATTTAATTTTTTTTGAAGATTTATTTATTCATGCATACAAGAACCAGGGTACGGGCCAGATGCGCGGGAGGGTGAGAGCATTCACCAGTGACAGAGCAGGGAATAGAACAGGCAGACCAACCGAAAAACACTGCTTAGGGGAGCAGCGGGCGAGACAGGAGAGGTCTGCCGTTCCATGTGGGATTCTTGCCCGCCTGCAGATGCTGCGGACAGCTTCACAGCGTTATGCCCAACCACCTGCGCCACCAGGGGAGGCCCTAAATAAAATAAATCTTTAAAAAAAAAGACAAAAAGGTTCTGTATTTCACTGTGTGGTACTGGAAAGGGAAGGGTACTCAGAATACATCATATAAAATGACTTTTTTTTCCTTTTAGTCATTTTCATTTTCAGCTTGTTGGAGGCGGCCACCCTGCGTAGTAAGCAGAAGGGCCTTGACCCGAGTCTCTAAGGCATGTGAAAACACATGCGTCTCGGAGGAAAACCTCTGAGTGACAGGACTTGGTGTTGAGAGCCTGGAAAGTGACCTGCGTGGAGTCGGGCTTCTACATCTCCACAGCCTGAGAATAATAAAATGGAGAGATCCTGCGCAGTAAGCAGAAGGGCCTTGACCTGAGTCCCTAAGGCATGTGAAAACACATGTGTCTCGGAGGAAAACCTCTGGGTGACAGGACTTGGTGTTGAGAGCCTGGAAGTGAACTGCGTATATCTCCACAGATTGACAACAACAAAATAATGAGCGAACTTCCCAGGCTCAGGCTAGGAGGCGATAAGATTATGTGTGTGAGAACTAACCGCCTGGTATCCTACTGTCTGAAGTAAATAAATAATAGTAAAAAAATAGACTAATCATTCATACGTGTTATCATTATGTAGTATGCTTTGATGTTACACCTGCTACAATTAAAATAGTATATAATAAGCACTAAGACAATAAAGATTTGCTGCATGCTGGACATGACAGTCCCCCATGTCTGATTTCCTTTACCGTCGGGGGTCAGGACTCACTAAAAGTCCACATCAGCTCAACAAATATTAATTGGATATAAATATCTGCATGTAACCTGAGTGATAAAAAGATAAGCTAGGACCCTTCCTGTAAGAAATTTTTGTTTCATAAGTGGCATTAAAAAAGAACCCACATTTGTCTCTAGGATATTCCAGCGGAGTGCTTCTTTGTGAAATGCAATGGAGCACTCATTAACACCGATGACACAGTGCAGCATGGAGCAGTTTATAATCTGGAACCCAGACTACGAGGTGGAAAAGGAGGTAGGTTGGTTGTAACACATCTACAGTCCTTGGCCATGTATAAAATTAAAAAACTTGATCTGTGGTATGCCAGCCTTGTTTTGCCTTTGTGAAATTCTCTAATTGGAATATCTAGCTCCAGCCAGATAACTCTCAGACAACCTAGGCTCTAAGCCTTGGGGCCAGATGAGATGAAAAGAAGTGGCTGTTAGTCTGTACAGTTCGTTGCAAAGTGTTGAAATGATCAAATCTGCTTTTATCAAGATTTTGTCTAATTATTATGTTAAGGGAGTTCTAAAGTCACTTTAAGAAATTCAACAACAGATTGGGATAGATTTAAGTCCCAGTTATATTAACATATCTAAGAAAAGATAAAAGAAACTAAGAGCAAAAACTGAATATTAACAGTTCTTGGTCTTTTTTTAAGCAAGCAGAGATTACTTGTAATCTTGTAACATTATACTATTTTTACAAGTTCCATCTTTATTCATTCTTGAGCACTTTTTAACCCACTTTCTTCAAATACTTGTTCAGGTTTTGGATCTATGCTCCGAGCACTTGGTGCTCAGATTGAGAAGACAACCAATCGAGAAGCCTGCCGGGATCTCAGTGGGAGGAGACTACGAGATGTCAATCATGAAAAAGCGTAAGATACCCTTCTGTTTTTATTTTTTGGAGAGAGAAACATACTTTCAATAATGGTTACACATACGCTATACGTAACCGAAAGTTAAACTTGAAATAATTATGCTCTAATTTGTTGTTACTAGATTTAATTTTTTTATGACTTAATGATTACTTTGGGGCTTTAGTAAGTCCATTACAGTATGCTGTTAGTAAGAATGGCAAACCTTTATGAGGGAATGTCACCAGTGTATATGATAGACTTCTTCAGTTATGTCTCTTTCTCCTCCCCAGAATGGCTGAATGGGTAAAACAGCAAGCTGAGCGAGAAGCTGAAAAGGAACAAAAGCGCCTGGAACGACTGCAGAGGAAGCTGGCAGAGCCCAGGCACTGCTTCACCAGCCCTGACTATCAGCAGCAGTGCCATGAGATGGCTGAGCGTCTGGAGGATTCAGTCCTGAAAGGTGGGATCAGGGTTATTTAGCGTGATCAGCAGACACCTCTGAAGCCAGCTTTTTGAGATTGTTCCATACTGTACACAAAGAGCAGTTTTTGACCTTCATTGGGTTACAGATCTGTGTAACTTCTCTCCACAAGAATGAACACGCTGTATCTTACAACCTATAAAAATGGGAACACATAACCACATAGTATTTTACACATTTGACCCTTGGATTTCCATGCATCCATGTGTCCCCAGTAAGAACACTTTTTGTTGCTTTGTGGCAATAAGTTAGGTCTTTAGGAGATGTCTAGACCTCAACATATTTGCTTCTCTTGTTGGTGTTTGGTTGTTTTTTTTTTTTTAAGATTTATTTATTTATTTTGTACGAGAACCGGGGTACAGGCCAGATGTGCGGGAGGATGAGAGGATTCAGCAGAAGACAGAGTGGGAAACAGAACAGGCAGATTGACGAAATACACTGCTGAGGGGAGCAGCGGGCGAGACAGGAGAGGTCTGTCGCGCCATGTGGGACTCTTGCCGGCCGGCCAGGATCGAACCAGCACAGCAGAGGCTGCGAACAGCTTCACAGCGTGGTGCTCAACGGTCTGCGCCACCAGGGGAGGCCCTGCTTCTCGTGTTTTAAGAAATTTAAATCTAGAACATAGATTGCAACTTTTTTTTTTCTTGCAATCTAGATTATTTACAGTTTCTTTGCTTAAACTTAGTTCTGACTTGTTAACATTTCTGTTAACTGAATTGTTAATATTACTCATTAGGTATGCAGGCTGCTTCCAGCAAGATGGTATTGGCAGAAATTGGTGAGAAGCGGAAACAACCTAATAAATCAAAATCAGACAGAGGAGCCAGTGCAAGGAAAAGGAAATGTTTTTGGTAAGTATGTTTCATCTTCACTTTAAGTAGGTCTTTTGGACTGGTATGATACATTTTCTTTTTGTCTACTGGGCATCAGCAGACTTGTAAAATAATGTTTGATGGAGGCTCAGAAAATTTCCTGAGTGCTCAGTCCTTAGGTTTCAGTGATTGTCACAATGAAATCACAGTGTAATGATTTCTGCTCTGATTGCCATTAAGAGATCCAAAGAACAATTTTTTCCTGGTAGTGAAGATCAGATAAAAATAGCTTTGTATGTGGAATATTATTCAGTCACAGGGAAAGAAAAATGAAGACATTTACAGCAAAATGGAGGGAGTTGGAGGGAGTTATGTATACTAAAGTCAGCAAAGACAAATACTGGACATTTACATTGTGGATAATTAGACAAAGTAAAATACTTAACAAAAACTAGCAAGTACTAATAAACACTGTGAGGGTGAGACCATTGAGGTCAAGAGGGAGGAGGGCGAGGAAGGGACAAGGGTATATAAGGGATAGTGAGGGGCAGTGTGAAGAAAAGAGATGGAGGAGGTACTTGAAAGACTTTTAAGATACCATTTGCATTGTGTGGACATTATATGGATCTTGAATTTTAAAAATTAGGTTTTTTTTTTTGTTTTTTTTTTTTTTTTTGTGGGACCCTCGCCAGCGGCCAGGGAACGAACCGGCGCTGCAGAGGCTGCAGGCAGCCTCGCAGCCCAGCGCTCAACCGCTGCGCCACCAGGGGAGGCCCTTAAAAATTAGTTTTTTATAAGAGAGTTAGAACTTTAAACACTGACCAGATATTTGATTATATTATGTGTATGTTAGTAATAAAGGTGTATTTGTTCTGCCCTGGGTTCCTGGCACAGAGCTTCTAAAATCCTACAATATCCTGAGTGATAGGAGTGCTAGGATCATCTCTTACTATAGTATGTATAAGAAATGTATATAGTAATATGGTATAATAGAGACTGACTTATGAGCCTCTAAAATCTTTTGTCTTTTTATATGCTAATGAGATAACTGGTAGCTTCATCATGGGGCCTAGCTATCAGAGGAGGAAAAAAGTTTTGTATTTGAGTTACTCTTTGGTGTTGAGTTAACTTTCAGTAATTCCACATGGAAGCCACAGCTGTACTTACCGAGTTCTGTTTTTTTCTGTGGTTTTCTTAGTCATCATTGAGGTCTTGGGTCACTTAGCCAGACTTCTACTACTTTTGCACCGTGGTGAAAAGCACACCAGTATTTTTTCTTTTCTGTTCTTATAGCTCTCCCACACTTCACACTTGGTCCTCTGGTTACCAACTCTGTTCCCTTTGGGCAAACTCAGAAATTGATACAGTCTAATTGGGATCTTGCTCCTTGTTGACCTCTCCTTTGAGGATAGGAAGATGTTACCCAAAGATCATAAAACTGTTGAGTTCAACTTAGAATTTTGTGCATTCTTTCTGAAATGGGAAATAATTGTTCTTGAGAGAATAGGTTTTTTTTTTTTTTTAAAGTCAGGTTTATTGAGATATAATAACATATATAGTAAAATTCACCCTTTTTGATTGATTAGTTCTGTGAATTTGAAAAATGTTTAACATGTGTCCCTTTGCTGTTAACCCTGTCCTCTACCAACTATAGATTACTGATGTTTGTTCCTGTGGTTAAGTCCTTTCCAGAATGTTGTACAGCTTTTTTGGTCTGATTTCTTTAATTTAGGCATAATGTTTTTGAGAGCCATCGATGGTATTATGTGCCTCAGTATTTCATTCCTTTTTATTGCCAAGTGTTAATGTATGATATGACTACAGTTAGTTAATAGCCATTTGGATGGTTTCCAGTTCTGGCATGATTATAATTAAAACAAGATTTTTCAAAAACTTTATTATGTCTGATTTCCAACAGTTGATGTCCATACAATATAAGATTAAAAAGTTTTAAGAATTTTGTAATAACTTAAAAAAAAAAAAAGCCTGTTGGATCTTTGGAATGGTTGGTTCCAGTCTCTCTGAAATTGTTTATTCTTCAGAAGTGAATTTACACCTGGAAAACCTTTTTCTGAAATTTACCTGCTTCCTATCTCAAACTAGCAGATACTTCTATTCAGATAGTCTGTTCCCTGGGCAAACTACAGCCTTTTTTTTTTTTTTTTTTAAAGTAGAAGCTATAGATGGTGTTAAATGCTTTCTTTTGCTTCTGATAGGTTGGACATGCAAGGACTAGAGACTGCAGAAGGGTCCAGCTCTGAGAGCTCAGATGATGACAGTGAAGAAGCACCTAGTACTTCAGGAATGAGCTTCCATGTTCCAAAACATGGCAGTGATGGTGTTGAGACAGCAGCTGAATTTCCCAGTGGTTCTCAGAGGACTAGAGTATTGAGTATAGACTCTAGATCACCAGAAAAACTACAGACCACAGTGTCTGACTCTGGGAATGGTGTTGTAGAAGACCTGTGTATGGAGCCGCGAGAGACCTCTGCTCAGGAGTACATGGAAATGAAGATGACTAAAGGGACAGAGGAAACCCAGGAGAGAAAGGGGACAGAGAGTAAAGGACCTGTGGAAAAGGAAGCTGGGGCTGCACTGAATAACGAGAAAGAGACAAAAGAAATGACTGATGGGGAAAGAGCTGCCAAGTTAGTATCTGGAGCAGATAGGGAAACCATTCCCTCTGCCAAACTGGAGGAGAGCCGGTCAGGAAACACAGTACGTATTTTTGGGGGGCCAGTGTCTAGAGCCATATCAATTTAACCTCTGCCTAAGTCATAAAATGGAAATGTGTTATTTCTCCATCAGCTGCTTAGTGGAAAGACTCATTTAATAATCAGAAGTACAGATGATGGTAAAACTTGCCTTTCCCTCCAAAAAAATCCAGGTTTTGTTTAACCCTGGAGTTTATATTATTTTGCCACTAGGTGGTGTCCTTGGCTCCATATTTTCATCAGTTCTGAGATGCCTGTTTTCCAGTGTCGCATCTCTGAACTTGGATCCGGATCACATTATAGCTTAATTGGTATTTCTTGTTCTTATTAATACATATGATAATAAGGCATATTATGATAGGTGGCATTTTCTATTTGATGGAATATGCTCATTTTCTTATTACTAGCTCTCTAGTCACTTTATGTGAAATGCTGTTTGAACACCTGGATGTAAGATCTCTACTATAGAAAAGGAGCAGCTGCTTTTAATGTTGTCATCAAAACTTAGTTCCTACATTCTTCCTTTTAAAAATTGATTTTTATTTTGTATACATTTCCTCAAATAGTTGATTATCTGCTCTTTTCAGTGGATTGACTTCCAGCAAAAATCCTTAATGTTTACTCTTTTTTAAAAAAAGATTTATTTATTTATGCATACAAGAACTGGGGTACAGGCCAGAGGTGCAGGTAGTGAGGGGATTCACCAGAGCCAGAGTGGGGAACAGAACAGGCAGACTGACTGAAATACACTACTGAGGAGAGCAGTGGGCAAGATAGGAGAGATCTGCTGCGCCATGTGGGTAGCTCCCTGGCTGGCCGGGGATTGAACTCGTGCTGCAGAGGCTTCACAGCTTCATTGTGCTGTGCTTATTAACCCCTTGTGCCATCAGGGAGGCCCTTTAATGTTTATTCTTTTTTTATTTTTTAAATTCTTCCATTGTTCATTTTTTTTTTAAGATTTTTTTTTTATTTATGCATATAAGAGCTGGGGGGGGGGTGAGAGAGATGGCGGGGGTGAGAGGCCCCACCAGAGACAGAGTGGGGAACAGAACAGGCAGAATGACTAAAACACACTGCTGAGGGGAGCAGTGGGTGAGATAGGAGAGGTCTCCTTTGCCGTGTGGGTTGCTCCCTGGCCAGCCGGGGATCGAACTATTGCTTCATACTGTGGTGCTTAACTCCTTTCGCCACCAGGAAGGTTTAATGTTTACTCTTGATCTTACATTTTCACTTAAGAATCTGTGAAACCTGAACTACTTGGTTTCCTTTAATAAACACAGACCCTATCACTATTTGTTTAACCAGCATCCTTTCTACTCCTAATGCATAAGCCGAAATACATGGAATGCCCTTTCTAGGAAGACAGTGAAATTCTTTTCTGTTAAGGGCTTCAAGTTCACCTGCACATCATCTCTGAGTTGTAAATATGTAACTATTATGTTGCTGGCCTATATTGGAAGTTTTACAAGGATTAAAATCTGAAAAAGGTGAATTAAAGGAAAATAGAATGAAAGTTGATTTGACTTTCAATCTTTGAGCCTTTAAGCGTGGAAATTTTGTTTTTGATGTTTGTCTAGTTGTGTTCATAACAACTGTGCATAGCCATGTGTGATTCTCCAGTCTTAATTACTCATTTATAATAGAAAGCATTAAGAATAGACATTAATAGATTCACCTTTTACAGTGATGGAATCTCATTAAAATTAAGCTTTATGGCGCTGACTTCTGTCGTAGTGTGGGGGTAATTCAGCTGTTTGTATTTTTATTGGAAAAATCAAAAAGAAAAGAAGAAAGTATCATTAAGACCTTTCAGAAATCCTGTAACTTCTGTTGCAATTCTGAATATTTGTTTCTAAATATATACATGAAATATTAATGTTTATTTTTTTAAAGGTTTATTTATTTGTTTGTTTGTTTATTTATTTATTTATACAAGCACTGGGTACAGTCAGAAGCACGAGGTTGAGAGAATTCACCAGAGCCAGAGCGGGGGACAGAACAGGCAGAACGACGAAATACACTGCTGAGGGTAGCAGCGGGCATGGCAGGAGAGGTCTGTTGAGTTGTGTGGGACCCTCGCCAGTGGCCGGGCATTGAAGCAGCGCTGCAGAGTCTGCAGGCAGCTTGCAGCTCAGCGCTCAACTGCTGCTCCACCAGGGGAGGCCCTATTAATGTTTATTAATAATGTATATTAAGAGTGCATTTGGAAGAATATTTAAATGATTGTTAAAATTCAGTAGCCAGATGTGGCAATTAAATGAAAACTTAAAAAATAGAATATAGTTGACAATTTAAAAAGTCTTTATTCAGAGAAAGAAATCTGTTTTTAAAATATTTTTCTTTTTCTCAGGATATTGGTTGGGGAACTGTAGATTTACTGGCCTTCAACTCGGCTGCAGAAATGGAGTCATTGGGTTTGGAGAAGCTCAAGCGTGAATTGCTGGCCCTGGGACTGAAATGCGGGGGCACTCTGCAGGAGCGGGCAGCCAGACTCTTTTCTGTCAGAGGACTGACCAAGGAACAGATGGACCCGGCTTTATTTGCCAAGCCTTCGAAAGGAAAGAAGAAATAAACTTCATCAGAGCAGATTTCTTGTTTCTTCATAGTCTAGCACTATCTGTATAATGTTGACTCTGGGCCATTATTCCTATTGGAATAATTCTTACTACTCCTTAAAGTTGATTTTTAATAAACTAATTTTAACTATTCCCTCTTTCATTATTACATTGATGGAATTAATTTGTGAAGCCGTCTGGCCTACAAGTTTTCTTTGTGGGAGACTTTTATAACAAATTAATTTCTTGAATAAATGCAGAACTGCTGAGATTTTTGGTTTCATCTTGTCATTTAGGTGAGTGATATTTTCAAGGACTTTATGCATTTGAACCAAGTTGTCAGATTTGTGGACATAATCTAATTCATATTGGTCTCTTACCCTTTTGCTATATGTAGGAGCTGGAGGTGGTAACCCATTCTTTTCATTCTGTTACTCATAATTTCTGTTTTGCTTTTCCAGTTCAGTCTAACCAGGAGTTTTTTCCCAGCTATTTTAAATTTCTGTTTTGATTTTGCTCTATTCCTTCTGCCTAATTTGGATTTACTTTGCTCCGTTTTTTTGGCTCTCTAACGTAAATCTTGGGTCATTGATTTCAGACTTTTTTCCTGATATGTATGCTGAAAGCTATAAATTTTTCTTTAAGCATTTCCTTAGTTGCATCTCGAAACATTTTAGTATGTTATATTGCCTTCAAAAACAAAAAATGTCATGACTTTTCTGACAACCCAATATTTTCATTATGATTCAGTTCTACGTATTTTCTGATTTCTTTGTGAATTCTTTTAACCATAGGTTATCTAGAACTGTGTTGTCTAATTAGGAGGTTCCCCTCCCCCAAATATTGTATTACTGCCTTCTAATTTAACTTCCTTTGACAGAGAATATCTTCTTTATGATTTCAATCAGTTAAGTTTCATTGAGACTTGTATTATCATCCAGCATATGGTCTCTCTTGGTGACTGTAATGTGTACACTTGAAATTAACACTGTTTTAAACTGTTGGTGAATTTGTTCTGTAATGTCTATCAGGTAATGTTCAGATTGTCTGTCTTTATTGATTTTTTTTTAATTGAACAAAAAATTTGTTATATATAGTATTGACATCTAAATACGATACGGTTTTTTAAGTGAAAATAAAATGAAATCACATGTACATAGTTGTATTCATTAAGTGCTAAACAAAAGCCATACAACAATGAGAAACATTAATAGCAAATCCAAAGAGAAATGAAGATACTCTTCAAAAATCCATATTTCATTTGAGTATCAAAAATCACCATTCTTTTAGTCATTTTCTTGTACCTTATTTTGTTTTCCTTTTTAAAGGTTTTGTGTTTTTTTTTTTTAAAGATTTATTTATTTATGCATACAAGAACTAGGGTATAAGCCAGAGGAGTGGGGTGGGGGGTGAAGGGATTCACCAGAGACAGAGTGAGGAGCAGAACAGGCAGATCTACTGAAATACACTGCTGAGAGCAGCGGGTGAGACAGGAGAGGTCTGTGATGCCATGTGGGTAGCTCCTTGGCCAGGGATTGAACTCACTGGGTATAGCTTCACAGTGCTGTGCTTAACCTCTTACACCACCAGGGAGGCCCCTCTTGTACCTTATTTTGTATTTACTTTCTTTGCATCTGTTTGAATTCCTGGATTTTATTTTAATCTGTGAGGCATAAGCTGCAAGATATATTTCACTGGCTGAGGCTTTGGGGAGGTTGAACATCTGGGTGTTAATTGTCAGTTCTGTCAAGTCCCAATAGAGAACAGAAACTTCTCCCTGTTCGCACATCCATTCCTATTAAGAACCTGTCTTTACAGTGTCTTCATCAGGTGTGGAGAGAGGGGTTAAAATTTTCAGTTAACTGTGGCGTTCCCTATTTAATTTCTTCAATTTTTTTGGCCTCATTTTGAAGCTCTGTTACTGTGTTAAGTCATCCTAAAGAATTAACATTAATTGGGCCTCCCCGGTGGCGCATCGGTTGAGCGCTGGGTTGCAAAGCTGCCCGCAGCCTCTGCAGCGCCGGTTCGATCCCCGGCTGCTCCCCGGCTGCTCCCCGGCCACCGGAGGAGGGTCCCACATAGCGCGCAGACCTCTCCTGCCGCCCGCTGCTCCCCTCAGCAGTGTACTTCGGTCCTTCTGCCTGTTCTGCTCCCCGCTCTGGCTCGGTGAATTCTTTCACCCTCCTGCGCTTCTGACTGTACCCAGTGCTTGTATAAATAAAATAAATCTTTAAAAATAAATAAAGAGCTTTTAAATAAATAAATAAATAAAGTAATTCAGCATCACTAGGCTATTTAAAAAAAAAATTAACATTAATTACAAAATTCCCCTTTTTTTCGTAGTATCTTTTTCTACTCATTTACTTTCTACCTCTTATGTGGGTTTCTTAAAGTAGATTTCGGACCTCCCTGGTGGCATAGGAGTTCAAATCTCGGCGCTATCAAGCTATCAGCAGCCACTGTGGCACGATTTCCATCTCCAGCCAGGGAGCTGACTCATGGCGCAGCAGACCCCTCCTGTCTCACCCGCTGCTCCACTCAGCAGTGTATTTCAGTACATTTGCCTGTTCTGCTCCCCACTCTGGTGAATCCTCTCACCCCCTACACCCATTTCTTGTATGCATACATAAATATATCTTAAAAAAGTAGGTTTCTTATAGACGTCATATAGTTAAAGCTGTTGTTTTTTTTTTTAAAGATTTATTTATTTATGCATACAAGAACTGGGGTACAGGCCAGAGATGCAGGAGGGTGAGAGGATCCACCAGAGATAGCAGAGAGCACAACAGGCAGATGGCCTGAAATACACTGCTGAGGGGAGCAGCGGGCAGGACAGGAGAGGTCTGCCACGCCATCTGGGTTTCTCCCTGACTGGCCAGGGAACTCCTGAACTCATGCTGCAGAGGTTGTGAATTGTGGGTTGTGCAGTGCTTAACCCCTTGTGCCACCGGGGAGGCCCTAGATGCCATATATTTAGATTTTACTATTTGCCTATTCTGACGGTCCGCCTTTCATTTTTTTTCTTAGTCTCCACCTTTTAAATAGAGTGTTTATTGACAGGTGTAATTATCAATGCAGCTAGTTTTAGGTCTGTCATTTCTGTTTGGATTATTTTAGAGTTGCATTTTACTCACTTTTTAGCTATATATATATGTTTTAAATGGATGTTCTAGGAATTACAAAATACTTTATCAAATTTTCAGTCTACTTATAGTTAATGTGCCACTTGACATAAAATGTAGAAATTTTGCAAATCTAGGTTTTGTACCATCCTGGCCTTTTATGATCTAGTCATATGTGTGTGTGGATGTGTATGTATATATATATATATATATATATAAATAAAATAAGGCCTGTAATATGTTATAATTTCTGCCTTAATATATTTTAAAGACTTTAGAGAATATTTTTTATTTATCCTTGTGTTTACCATTTCTGATGTTCTCATTCTTCCTTGAAGATCTGGATAACTTCCTTTGACCTGATGAACTTTCTTTAGCATTTTTATTTTTTTATTTTTATTTTTTTTTAATTTTCTAGAGGCATGTCTTATTTATTTATTTATTGTTTGTTTGTTTGTTTGATACATGCACTGGGTACAGTCAGAAGCGCGGGAGGGTGAGAGAATTCACCAGAGCCAGAGCGGGGAGCAGAGCAGGCAGAAGGACCGAAGTACACTGCTGAGGGGAGCAGCGGGCGGCAGGAGAGGTCTGCGCGCCATGTGGGACCCTCCTCTGGTGGCCGGGGAGCAGCCTGGGATCGAACCGGCTGCAGAGGCTGCAGGCAGCTTCGCAACCCAGCGCTCAACTGCTGTGCCACCGGGGAGGTCCTTCTTTAGCATTTTTAATAGCACACATGGACTTGCTGGTGACATCATCTGTTTTGTTTTCCCTCCTCTTTTCACCACTTGTTCTGTTTTCTGGCCAGTGTTTCTGATAACAAATCAGTGGCTGTTCAGATGGTTGTTCCCCTTTATATATGTCTTAGTGTCTCCAGGTATGATTTCTATGTGTTTATCTTGTTTGGGGTTTTCTAAACTTACTAAATCTATAACTTTATGCCACTAATTAATGTTGGGAAAATTTAAGCCAGTGTTTCTTTAGCTATTTTCCCTGCAACATGTCTTTACTGGCATTTCAATTACAAATATGCAAAACCTCTATATAGTCCCTAAAATTCCCTGAATCTGTTCTATCCCCCAAACATTTCTGTTCTGATTGTATAATTTTTATGACATAGTTAAGTCAGTTTCACTAACTATGTCATTTCCTTTCTGCTAAGTCAATGGAAGGAATTTATTTGATTTTGTATTTTTCAGTTCTAGAATTTATATATGTTTTGTTTTTAATTCCCTGCTAAAATGTCCTATCTCCATCACAAGCATAGGTTTCTTTCTTTTTTCTTTTTTTTTAAGATTTATTTATTTTTTTATTTATACATACAAGCACTGGGTACAGTCAGAAGCGCGGGAGGGTGAGAGAATTCACCAGAGCCAGAGTGGGGAGCAGAGCAGGCAGAAGGACCGAAGGACACTGCTGAGGGGAGCAGCGGGCGGCAGGAGAGGTCTGCGCACCATGTGGGACCCTTGCCGGCAGCGGGGAACAAACCGGCCCTGCAGAGGCTGCGGGCAACTTCGCAGCCCAGCGCTCAATCGCTGCGCCACTGGGGAGGCTCTATAAACAGAACTCTTCAGACCTCCTTAACTTAGCTACAGTTGTGATTTCTCTGAAAAAAAAAAAAAAAAAAAAAATTTTTTTTTTTTTTCCCCCTTCAAGCCAGTGAGATTGCAATTTCCCCATCAGAGGGATAACTGCCTGGCATGGAACAGAGTAGGGGGCACTTACCCAGTGTTGTTCCCTTCTAAATGTCAACTCCCTGTTGCATCTGCTTGCTTCTGGTCATTTTCCAGTATGTTAAAGTATTTGCTTTTATTCTTTGTCCAGAAGGCATAGCTAGTAACTACAGGAGGGTTGGTACAAAAGGTGATGCTCAACTATATAGAAGCAGAACCTCTATATTAAAAATATGTACATGCACCTCTGTCCATCTGCCTGCCTATCTATCCACCCCATCCATCCATCCATCCATCCATCCATCCATCCATCATCCATCCATCCCATCAACGGAATTAGAAAGAGGCACTTATCTTGAGTTATGAAGGGCTAAATTTAACTTGGTGAGATTGTTCAAACACATACTAATTCAGGAATTCCTAAGTTTGCAGAGTGGTCTATAAAACTACAAGTGAAATTAAATTACACACTTGATTTCGTAAGAGCTTTTTTTCTGAGAAAAATGAAGCATCTTAGTGTAGTGAAAGAGAAACTGGATTCGGGAGACAGATTTACTCCTTGCTCGAACCACTCTGGACAAATTAGTTAACCTCTCAGGATCAGTCTATTTAGCTGTAAAAGGAATGAGAGGAATAATGGTGAGGTTGTCACGATTATCTGAGTATAAATTTAAAGGACTAACCCGCACAAGAGATTCTCGTTTGTTTTTGAACGGGTGTTATGAAAAGGAGAAATCCGCTGCCTCGAGTCTCTTGTGAGTCTTAGCAGGAGTTGTGTTCACACTGCAGTGGCTTACCGCAAGGGAAACAGCCTCTCAATAAACAGCTTAGGCAAAACGGAACTGAAAGAACTTAGAAAATCAGACGCTACTACAGAGCTCACCCGGCTCACAGTCTCAGATGCAAATAAGCGGCGGCTTGTGACTGCAGATCCCCGAGGAGTTTGCAAGGGGGTGGGGTCACACGCCTCATTATTTGCGTAATCTTTTTCATCGTAGTGCAAATTTTGTGTTCAGTCTTCGATGTGTATAGAAAAAGCAAAGTAAAACTTTCAAAAGAATGTGCTTTTTTAATTTATTATTTCAAGAATATTTTGGACATTTTCCTTGTTTCGTGGTGATATGTCACTTTCGGGGAGATGTCACTTTTTTCCTGATTTTCATTTAATTGCTATCATTTATTTTGCTATATCTAAACTCTCCTCCCTTCTTTTACAGTATCTTTTTACTTGGGCCCGTATTAATGTTTAAATATCATTCTACTACGTTAGTATAGTCAATTCTTTATTTTTACTTTTTGTCTTCAGTAGAGTCTTCAATTTTTTTTTTTAAATAAAGAGCATATGGATGGTGCTGTTTCTCTGCTTGCTGTCTTTGCATATGCAAAACTTTGGAGGGTTTTTAAAAAAAGATTTATTTAT